TTTTTAAGCACTCCAACATTGTTGGATATTTATATTTAATACTTAATTTTACTATTCTAAAAAAATATTTTTTATTTTTTATTATCTTCTATTTTTACTAATTTCCCTCAAAATTATTATATTATTTTTCCTTTATTGAAAATTGAAATATTCTGAATACATTTAATTGTAGAAGAGTGAGTTTGATTCTCTAAATTTGAAGAGTCAAACTCGCTATCTAAATTAAATTGTTAATTTAAAGAGTTTTTTACAGTATAATTTTAAAGGTCGACTCTTTAAAATAATGAGTATTTTATATTTAAAATGTCTATTGGAGATGCTCTTATAAGCATAATTTAATACATAACAAATCTTCAACGTAACAACTATAATCATCTTGACAAACGTACGTCGATATTTTATCTTTTTGGATAACCTCTTCATTCGTCTTTCAAACATACGTAAACTATATTGGACGTGATTTTAGTGTTTTTTTTCCTTTCTTGTTAAATTCTATTCAATTCTCTCTATTGAACGTATCGACCAAAATAAAACCCTCTTGCTTTTTATGTAATTGGGACAACAAACGTATAACATCAAAGTCTATGATAAAAAACAATGTTTACATATGCTATCTCAAAAAAATTACTATATATGATTGAATAAATAGAACAGAATTAAAGACGAAAAACTTACATGAAAAATTTAAGGGTAATTGGGGCAAAATGTCCCTACCTTTGCATGTTTTTGTGCAAAACATCCATACCTTTCATTTTTTGGCTCAGAACATCCTTACATTTCACATTTTTGGCGCAAAACGTCATTTTCATCTCTTTTTGACCATTTTACCCTTCTATTAAAATAAAACAAACACAAAAGAAAAAAAAATTACAATTGTGGGTTCAAACTGTTAAAAATGTGCAAATTAGTCACAAATATGAAAAAATCATCACCCCTAAGCCGCCACCTTTGAAGGCAAAATCCCCAACTTCCGATCACCTTGACCGCTGGACCAACATGCCACCTTGAAGCCCTCATTGACCTCTTCACAACCCACTCAACCACCAGCCCCAACTCTGGCAGATTTCATCGGAATCGAGTTTCAAACTTCGCCTCATGAAATGTGGTCAAAAGCCGGAATCACGCCATCCGACCACCTTCCGATTGTCGCGACACCGCACCAGTTTTCCTCCAACTCAGGCGTCGCCGTGACTACCCATGGTGGCGGAACACCTGGGCTGGGTGTGCCATCACTTGGCGCACCTATCCCAGCCATGGGTCCCCTTCAATTGGGCTCCAATCATCTTCAATCTGGGTCTGTCATGTTTGCTGGTGCGAACTCGTGACTGGACTGTCAGGTTTGGGGGTCTAATGTGTACCATGCACAACTGGTCAAGAAAGCCATGGAGGTGGGTGTGGGTTCTCCACTGATTTGTGCATATTCCATTTCTTAAAAATAAGATGANACCAGTAAACTCGCAAACGCGCCGAGTAGACTGCCTTTGCTTCGAAATTGATGGTTGTTGGCTGCTAGTTGGAGGAAATTATTTACATAGGTAGCTTCGAATTGATGAGGGGAGTCGACCAGTGGTGGATTCCGGCCGGTTGGGGCGTCCGGACGGAGAGTTGTGGGTGTTTGACCGATTTTTAGGCTGCAATTTTTGAATTTGATTTCTGGCCAAATTACAATGAGTTATGAGGATTTCTTGGTATGTAGTTGTAGAGGGTAATGATGAGAACATGTTGGAACTAATATCCGATGGTTTGTGCGGCCAGAAGTCGCCGAAAAATGAGCTCATGTATTCAGCTGAAAATGAGCAAGAGAGATTTTTTTGGTTCTTTTTGATATTTTTATAAGTTTTGGATTGATTTACATTTTTTAAAAAATTTAGGAGTAAGATTGCAATTTATTTTATTTTATTTTTTGTTTTATTTATATAGGAGGGTATATTAATCATTTTATATTAAAAATTGGTCAAAATGACGTTTTGTGCAAAGAATGTTAGAGGTATGGACATCACTTGAACGTTAACGTTATATCTACACCCTCGCTTATGTACGCTTCCAACTTTTCGGAAAGTTTTAATCGAATGTTGACAAGAATGTTCCTTCAAAAGATGAACCCTAAAATTTTTCTACCTTAAAAAATTAAGTTCCCACTGACCGTGGACCAATTAAATTAATTTGAAGAAAANTTTTTAAGCACTCCAACATTGTTGGGTATTTATATTTAATACTTAATTTTACTATTATAAAAAAAATTATTATTTTTTATTATCTTCTATTTTTACTAGCTTCCCTCAAAATTATTATATTATTTTTCCTTTATTGAAAATTGAAATATTTTGAATGCATTTAATTGTAGAAAAGTGAGTTTGACTCTCCAAATTTGAAGAGTCAAACTCGCTATCTAAATTAAATTGTTAATTTAAAGAGTTTCTTACAGTATAATTTTAAAGGTCGACTCTTTAAAATAATGAGTATTATTATATATTTAAAATGTTTATTGGAGATGCTCTTATAAGCATAATTTAATACATAACAAATCTTCAACGTAACAACTATAATCATCACGTAAAACGTACTTCAATATTTTATGTTTTTCGATAACCTTTTCGTTCATCTTTCAAACACGCCTAAAATATATTGAACGTGATTTTAGTGTTTTTTTTTTTCCTTTCTTGTTAAGTACCATTCAATTCTCTCTATGGAACGTATCGACTAAAATAAAACCCTCTTGCTTTTTATGTAATTGGGACAACAAACATACAACATCGAAGTCTATGATAAAGAAATGTTGCAAATAGTGAAGAAACTAATAGATTCAAATAAAAACAACGTTTACATATGCTATTTCAAAAAATTGGATAAATCTATATGTACGTAATTATTGTACATAGGCCAATGTGGAAGAAATTCGATCGTGGATGTGAAGTGTGAAAAAGTCAAAATTTATAGACTACCAATGGATACGCGCCACATGCCAATTATGTAATGTATTATGTAAATGATTATTTATTTGTAGCATGGTTCAAAAAAATTTATTATATAAAATTCAATAAATAGAACTGAATTAAAGGAACAAAACATACACGATAAATTTAAGATTGAAAGTTCACATCACATGATCGTTAACGTTATATCTACGCCATCGCTTATGTACGCTTCCAACTTTTCAGAAAGTTTTAATCGAATGTTGACAAGAATGTTCCTTCTAAAGATAAACCCTAAAATTTTTCTACCTTGAAAATTAAGTTCCCACTGACCGTGGACCAATTAAATTAATTTGAAGAAAATTATCTTATACAAAAATTAAATAAATAAACAACTAGTGTATCACAGATATTTTATAATATTATTTTACCCCATAGTCAAAGATATAATGAATGCTCGAGCAAAAAAGCAATGAAAGCATGCATGTAGGCATAGAATTCAAAGCATCACGTTCACACATTTCAAATGGAAACTCAATAATTTTCTTGCACAACATGGATTAGTTATTATATGTATTCACATTGAAAGTTTCTTTGTTAAATAGAATACGAGTAAATATGACACTCTACAGACAATTTCAATATCGCTTATTAGATTGAGTAATATTATTCATCCTCAGTGGGGATGAAAACACAGTCTATGTGTCATTAAATGATAGGTTAAATGAAATGTGAAATTAAATGACTTATTTAATTTCACCTATCATTTAATGCCACATTAACGTCACATAGACTGTGTTTACATCCCCAGTAGGGATGAATAACATTACTCTATTAGATTATATAACAACGGAATGAAAACTAAAATTTTGATTATTATACGGTCTAGTCCTCAAATGCACTATAACCAAGTATTATGTACGTAACGACGTTCAACAAAACTAAGAAATTACTCATAAAAAATATTCCTCGCATTAATGATTAGTCAAATATTCATATTAAAGATTATAATATTAAGCCTCTGTTTAGTAAGGATTAAAATCAAAATTTCAATAGATTTTGATAAAAACTGATGAAATATATGATTAAAAAGTTGTAGATCTCATAAAATGTGAGGTTAAAATTAGCTGCTGACTTCTAAATACATATTTAGTGCATGTTCGACGCACATTAATTTATTTCATGGTTTGCTATATGATCAGTTTCAACCACATATTTAGGCAATAAAATATTATTCACGTATACAAAAAAATTCCATACTTTTTAATCACACGTTTTTCTAAAAATTCTATTCAAAACTCATTTAATTCCAATTAATGAGAATCAAACAAACTCTTAGTACGTCTTGAAGACGACTAAATATTTTAATGTTTTTATCCAATTATGTCGAAACCGTTAGATTGAGAAATGTAATATAGTTCTTGTTTGATTTCCATAATTTTCAAAATACATTTTTTCTTTATTTTTCAATCACACTTTTTTCTATAAAATAATATTACACGTAAATCTAACACTTTTTTCTTTTTTTTTTTAATCACACATTCTTTATTAATCTACTATTTTAAATGCATTATTAGATTATAATGGGTTCAAACAGGCTCATGGTCAAGTATTTCAACTATGGTAGGTTCCAGAAAAATGAACATTTGGCGTGCGGAAAATTCCAACCAAACTTAGTCAAAAGCATATCCATTAATTTCTCTATATATATTTCAAATTCTTGTGTATAGTATATCTTCAACTACACCCATAATATTCAGCAAAACTTAGCTAGAGAGATGGCTTCAGAATCCTACAAGACTGCTCCGGAAACCTCCACGTCCTGGGAGAAGGAGGAGGATCGGCCGCCGGTAGCGCCGCCACGACAGCCTCCGCAGTCGAGAGCCTCGGCAGCCTACTTTGCATTGGTTGATGTGATTTTGAGATTCCTACTGTTTGCTTCAGCTTTGGCTGCTGTTTTGGTTATGGTTACCAGTAAGCAAACTGAAATAGTTCCAATACCAATTTACCCATTCCAGGCTCCCGCCTCTGCTAAGTTCAATCATTCACCAGCTTTCATGTAATCTCTCTCTCTCTCTCTCTCTCTCTCTCTCTCTCTCTCTATCTGATTTTCAGAAAGTAAATATATATATATATATATATATATATATTTTAGTTTTAGAATACTTATTTTTTGGAAAATGTGTGATTAAAAATGAATTTGAAAAAAAAAAAGGTTGAAGGTGGACGACAAACAGAGGCTAAATCACTAAAACCAAACACAGCCACAATAACATAAACAGAAAAGTGCCAAGCATGGATCTTTCTAACAACGATGATCTCACCTGAAGCGCTCTGGTTGCGAAGCCGGAGTTGATGCACTTTCTTGTG